GTATTCTGGAGTAGCGTGTGTACCCGCGTCCACCAGTTGCTCGAGAAGTCGGCAAGAGGCGCTCTCCTCTTGCACTGCAGCTCGCGGACAACCGTGATCTGGTAGCTGGGTCCTGTGGCGCGGCTGGCGCCTGCGAAAGGTATCTGGTGGTGTGTGTGAAAGGTGGCCTCGACAGTCGCGGCCCAAGAGCCGTAGGTCCGCCCAAGCTGAAGGGTCAAATCAGGCTTGAGCCGAAAGGCTACGGAAGCAGTGGCCGCAGGGGCAGGCAGCGTGCAGCTGGCTGGCAGGGCGCTGATTTGTTCCCGATGGACGCTCCAGAGCAAACTAGGGATTTCGAAATCCACAGCGGTAGAACTAAACTCCCCAGATCCAGGGCACGGGCCATTAGAACCATGTTGGGGAAAATTCGTGGATTTGGGAAAACTGTCTGGCATGGTCTCCTCGGGTGCGACAGGCACGTCAGGGGGTTCTCACGCTGGGCTGGTGAAAAGGTCTCTGACTGTTGGGCTGAATCAACTGATGGGGCAACGGGAGCAGGGTCGCGGGCGGAGAGAGCAGCACACGGCCTGTCCTGGGCAGCGGGCATGTCTCTCGGGGCGACACCGCTAGAAATATGAGTCAAAGAAGCATCGGCTGTGTATTCTCCGTGGGCCGAAAGCCGCGGATCACAAAGATGAGCGGATGAGGCAACGGAGAGGGGCGAATCAGGCGAGCCGAGCGAGCACTGTTTTGTCTCCTCGCGAGCGGGGTTCGAGACAGCAGACGGCACGGCTGGCCAAAAACTCGTCTCGTGCGCCCACGGGTCTTCCTCTTCGGAAAGCTGAGCTGAGTCGACGTCGTCGCCCTCGGATGTGGGGCTGTCGCCAGCACTGGTAGACTCGGCGTCGGCGTCTTGGCCTTCGCTGGTCCGTAAATCGGCAAAGCGAGTGGCATGGAGAGACTGTTTTCTCTCGATTGCCTTCTCCATGTGGGTTGCTCGCTGGGCTCTGGCACGACTCGGCTTAGATCCAGCAGTAGCAGCCTTGCGAGGGCGAGCGACGTGTGGCAAGCACCTCGGGAGCTGAAGGATACGCGTGAGCAATTGCTCGCCAGGCTGGATGGGCTGGAGACGCAGTCCTATGTGGGGCTTCCACGGGACATCAAGCACTGGCGAGAGGCTGACCAGGTATGGGCGGGCAGCAACACTGTGAACGAGAAAGTCAAAATGCGATGGCTTACGGCCTCCACCTGGGTCGCATGTGTGTTCGACAGGGGCGCACATGATCTCTCCTTGGACCTGTGCAAGGAACCCCGACTGGGTGAGTGCAGCAGGGCTGAGGTTCCAATCGGCTATGACGAACCAAGGAAGCTGAAGAGAGCGAAGGAGGCTCCCAAGCTTCCTAAAACGAGTTAAATTGGGCCCTCTCATGCCGACACTGCAGAACCCATAGAAAAGAACTGCTACGATGGAATAACCTCGGAGATGGAGGACAATGGGCAGGAAGCCATCGAGGGAGGAGTGAGGGAAAGACTGGAGGTCCTTGGACTGGACCGCCTCGAGGAGAGGGTGGGCATGGAGATGCCCTCTAGGAAGAAACCACTCTCCACCCTCATTCGCGTGTGAAACTGCGGACATGGATTCAGCCTCAAGATGGGAATCTACAGTCCACCCTTCAGAATCAGCACGCGATGTGGGTCGAGCAACGTTGGCGAAGAGCCTGCGATTGATAGACCTGAGCCTCCCCTGCCACTGTGATACACTGGCTGCATTGGCGTGGGTCTCGACGAATCCGATATAGTCATCACCGCTGGCCTGAATCCACTCATGGACTTTTTCACCGAAGCAAGTGACATTGCTGAAGAAGAAACTGCTAGTACTGGTCGGAGAGTTGGCATCACCTTCCCCCGTGATGCTGGGGTCACCTCCGCCTAGTCAATGTGAGGTGGCTCGCTTGGTGGCGGTGGTGCGGCCATTCCCTTTGCCTGGCGTCGGCGTCGGTGCAGCCGTCTCGAAGGCACCATCCTTGTTCATGGCGGCGTGGGCGGCGAACTTGGCGGCGGACAGGCGAGCGGCCTCAGCGGCCAGCGCGGCGTCTTCCTCCTGCTGCTGCGCCTGCGCCTGGGCGGCTGCGGGTGGCGGCTCAGCTCCAGCGTCGGCGGCCTCGCCCGAGCTGGGGGGCGGTCCAGCGCCAGCGTGGCCACCAGCGGGCGGGGCTGCCCCAGGCGTGGTGCTGGCTTGGCCGCCGTCGCCCTTGCGCTTCTTCTGGTAGCGTGCCTCCCGTGCCTGCCGCACGGCTGTGGCACGGCTGATGAGCTCCTGCACCTGGGGGCCCTTTGTGGCGAACTGCTGCTTGAGCTCCTCGAGCCCCTTCTTGACAGCGTTGAGCTCCTGCTGCTCGGTGTCGGTGAAATCGAGCTCCTCGATCTGCTGGAAGAGCGTGGGGTCCCACGAGACTGTGAAAGGAACCTCGGGTGGGTGGTCGGGCTTGCTGGCGGAGTCCTTGGCGCCATCAGGGTGTCCGACTCCTTCGGCATGTGCCAGAGCTTGAGCAGCCTTGCGCTTGGCAGCCTCCGTCTTGGCGACCTCGAGGGCGGCCTCGGCCTCCTTGGCCTCTGCCGTGGACAAGGCCTTGCGGAGCCGCACGACGTTGGCCACGACCTGATTGTGGTGGTTGACCGCACTGCGCCACGCACCGTCTGCCTTCCGCATGGCCTCGACCTCGCTGACCTTGGGCTCGGGCTCCTGGGCGCCGAGGCGCTGCATCTGAGCAGCGAGGATGGCCTGCAAGGCGGGGTCGGTGGCGGCCGCAAGTGCCTGACGTAGGTGGTTGGCGAGGGCGTCGTTGTCAGCGCGCGGCGTCGCCGTCTCGCGGCGAGGGGCGGCTGGCGGCGGCGTATCGGGGTCGATGATCTCCGCGGGCCCGAACCTCACCTGGCTTGGCGAGCGAGAGCGGCCGCGGTGCATGCGCACGGGCCGATTGCACCGTGGGCATGTGGGGGCCTGCGGGTCGAGGCGATCGTTGTACTCGCACGTGTTGCAGCCGCGGCAGCGCGTCCAGGGTCGCGAAGAAGAATGCCAGGCAGCGGTGCCGCGGGCAGCCTGGCTGGTGCTGCGCGGCGGCGGGTGGGTGCGAGCCATGAGCCCCAGCTTTGGTCGACCGTAAAACCTGCAAGGGAGCGGGTGCACGGAAGTCCCTCAAGCACCTCGCGGAGGTACTGGGGCAGCCCTGGGAAAAGGGGGGCCAGGGCCGAAGTGGCTTGAGAGGAGGAGGAGAGGAGGAGGAGGAGGAGGAGGAGGGGAGGAGGAGGAGAGGAGGAGGGAGAGGAGGAGGAATAGACAAGCGCGCTCCGCTACTCGTAAAGTTAACTACTCGCAAATGGCCTGGATCCGCCGCGGGGGATCTGCGAGGAATTACATCGAAGCGCACGTGTGTGATTTGTTTCGGACGTTTGCGAGTGGGCACCATGCGAGTAGTGGAACGCGTTCGGTGAAGGAGGAGGAGGAGGTGAAAGAAAAGGAGTCCTCCTCCTCCTCCTCCTCCTCCTCCTCCCCTCCTCTCCTCCTTCTCCTCCTTCTCCTCCTCTTCCTCCTCCTCCTCCTCCTCCCTCCTCCTCCTCTCCTCCTCCTCCTCCTCCTCCTCCTCCTCCTCCTCCTCCCCCCCATCGCCCTCCCTTCCTCGGGTCGCCAACGGCCCTGGAGTAAGCCGTCCAGCCCCAGGACCGCGCATATCGGGGTTGTGGTGGCAGGGCGCGCAAGGGCAGGTTCGGGCCGTGTCGTCGCGGCGACGATCCCAGCGCGAGCATTCATGGTGAAACGCCGCCAGTGGCGTGGAACCGGCCGACAGCGAACGATCCGCGTTAATTATCAACATTGAACGGTCTACGAGGGCTCATAATCCAACGCCGACATCACGTGATTATGTAAAATTATTTCTGCTGACGTTCATGTCTCCATTGGCAGAATCCGAGCGATGAGTGACGCGCTGAGCTGGCCCTCATTGGTTTGGGGCGTCGTGAGCGAGCTTGGCCTGTGTGGTTTCGCAGACAGGGTGTGACGTGCTAGGACGTGCCCGCGAATATGCGTTTGGATTCAGAGACCCTCCGTAGCATGCGTGGGCGTTGCCTCGAATGGCGCCCGCCCGTGTGGTTCGATCGTGCTCGTGGGATTTGGGCCTCCCGGGCCAGCCCTCGGGGCGCCCGAGACCGAACAGCACGCGCGAGGCGCCCAGGACGACCACGCGGGTCCCCTCGGAGCGCCTCGGAGGGCCCGTTGGAGGTCTGGCTGCCAGGGCACGCTGCCACGGCCTCGGGGCCAGCCGCGCGGGGGGGGGGGGGGGAGCCAGCCGCGGGCGCCCGGGAGCGCCCAGCAGTCCCGAGCAGCCGTGTGAGTGGAGCGTCTGGGGCACGCCCACGTCCCCACTGGTGGGACTGCACCCGGGCGCGAGGGCCTTCCACTCATTGGGCGTTCGCCCAAGGACCGCCAGTTAAAGTCATCCGCCTGGCTTTCGCGCCGAAGCCCGCTGATGCCAGTCAAGAGACTCAGAAGACCGCCGAAGACCGAAGGCCGACGGGCAACCTTGGGTCCATGGTCGAATACGTCGCACTCGGTACCTGAAGGCGTGCGCGGGCGAGCCCTGGTCATGCTGAGACGGCCAGCCCTGGCGGGCGAACTGGATGGCCGTAGAGCATGACTGCTCGAAAGTGAAGCGCATATCGGAGGAGGGCCAGTCAAGACAGACAACGGTGGCCCTTACTGGCCTTCTTACACTGACTTTTACTACTTTTTGGACCTCCTGGAGGCTCTTGGTCGCCACGGCTGGATCCGCCTCGCAAAACCGGGCAGGACTGGTCCCAGGAGGGGTCTGGGGACCGATGTCTTGTTGACCGGATTGCCGTACCCCTTCGCCGTCGTCGGCGGGGGCGTCGTGGTGCGCCCTCGCCGTCGTGGTGCGGCGACAGCCGCGTCGGCGGCGCGGTGCGTCGCCGCCGTGCCGCGTCGGCGCCGTCGGCGGCGGCTGCAGGAGTACGCCTTCCTCTCGCACATCGTGGAGAACTACGACCGGCTGGCTCCGGTCACGGTCTTCACGCCTGTCAGCGTGTACAGCGACGTCTACGATTACATGAAGTGCCGGAAGCTGAACTTCGCCATCAGCCGGCGGGCGGGATCGTCGGATGGGGTTCGGACGAGAGTGAATCCGTTCCAGGGCGCTCTGGAACGCTCTCAGCGCGTTCCGGAGCGCTCCGAGAAGGCCGCGGCGCCCGAGAGATCCTCCCGAGCCGCCGGATCTCAGAGACTCTCGGCTCGCCCCTTGCCCGAGTCGATCTTCGTCCTGGCCGCGTCTTCTCGGGCTCGGGGGGTCGGGGTGCGGCGACGCGGGCGTCGCGCGCGTCTCCTGAGCTTTTCGGGGGGCTTCCGGGGGGCGCCCCGCCGCCACGGCAGGAAGGCCCTCGAAGTCCGGGGCAGAGTGCAGGAGGGAAAGGAACACACATACACAAGTCATCGCCGATCCGAGAAGATATGGGAAAATATGGGAAGTGGGGGGGAAGACCAGAACCCAGAAAATACGAACACATATCGGGAATTATGTTATTCGTGTGCGTGTGTGTATTTATTTGTGTGTCCCAGGGCCTTTGTGGGCCCCGGAAACGGCCGGGCCGTTTTTTCACCGTTTCCAGAAAAATGTCCCTTGAAAACGGAAACGGCAGAAAAACGGCGACCAGAAACTGCAAAAAACACTGTTCTGGGATTGGAACCGGAGCCGGAACCGGTCAAAAAACGGCGACGGAACCGGTAAAAAAACGGCGTCGGAACCGGTAAATTATGCTAACGGAGTTCCCCACATACAGAGATTAACGGTTTCGTGGGACCCATTTTCTTGATGCCCTCCTCGCTTTGGCGGGGCCCCGCTGGAAGGGGGGAGGGCTACGAAACCTGGCGAAGAGTAATGCTTTCCGCGACCCTCCTCGTTCAAGCGCGGCCTCTCTGGAGGAGTGGAGGGGGGACACGAAACCGTGTAAACAGCATGTTTTCCGATACCCTCCAGGAAGAGGAGGAGGAGGAGGAAGAGGGGGAGGAGAAGGACGAGGAGGAGGAGGAAGAGGATAAGATGGATGATGGCGAAGAGCAGCAGCAGGAACCGCAGCAGGAGCAGCAGCGGGAGGTTGGTTTGAGTGGTCTCATTTTCCTCGTGAGGTCCGATTCGCTCAGGCGGGCCCCTCCCTGGAGGGGTGGGAGGGGCACGACACCATGTAAATAGTATGGTTTTCGGATACCCTCCTCGCTCAGGCGGGGCCTCCCTGGAGAAGTGGGAGGGGCACGAAACCATGTAAATAGTATGGTGTTCGGATACCCTCCTCGCTCAGGCGGGGCCTCCCTGGAGGGGTGGGAGGGGCACGAAACCATGTAAATAGTATGGTTTTCGGATACCCTCCTCGCTCAGGCGGGGCCTCCCTGGAGAGGTGGGAGGGGCACGAAACCATGTAAATAGTATGGTTTTCGGATACCCTCCTCGCTCAGGCGGGGCCTCCCTGGAGGGTGGGAGGGGCACGAAACCATGTAAATAGTATGGTTTTCGGATACCCTCCTCGCTCAGGCGGGGCCTCCCTGGAGGGGTGGGAGGGGCACGAAACCATGTAAATAGTATGGTTTTCCGATACCCTCCTCGCTCAGGCGGGGCCTCCCTGGAGGGGTGGGAGGGGCACGAAACCATGTAAATAGTATGGTTTTCGGATACCCTCCTCGCTCAGGCGGGGCCTCCCTGGAGGGGTGGGAGGGGCACGAAACCATGTAAATAGTATGGTATTCCGATACCCTCCTCGCTCAGGCGGGGCCTCCCTGGAGGGGTGGGAGGGGCACGAAACCATGTAAATAGTATTGTTTTCCGATACCCTCCTCGCTCAGGCGGGGCCCCCCTGGAGAGGTGGGAGGGGCACGAAACAATGTAAATAGTATGGTTTTCTGATACCCTCCTCGCTCAGGCGGGGCCCCCCTGGAGGTGTGGGAGGGGCACGAAACCATGTAAATAGTATGGTTTTGCCTCCCTCGAGAGGTGGGATGGGGCACGAAACCATGAAAATAGTATGGTTTTCGGATACCCTCCTCGCTCAGGCGGGGCCTCCCTGCAGGGGTGGGAGGGGCACGAAACCATGTAAATAGTATGGTTTTCCGATACCCTCCTCGCTCAGGCGGGGCCTCCCTGGAGAGGTGGGGGGGGCACGAAACCATGTAAATAATATGGTTTTCCGATACCCTCCTCGCTCAGGCGGGGCCTCCCTGGAGGTGTGGGAGGGGCACGAAACCATGTAAATAGTATGGTTTTCCGATACCCTCCTCGCTCAGGCGGGGCCTCCCTGGAAGGGTGGGAGGGGCACGAAACCATGTAAATAGTATGGTATTCCGATACCCTCCTCGCTCAGGCGGGGCCTCCCTGGAGGGGTGGGAGGGGCACGAAACCATGTAAATAGTATGGTATTCCGATACCCTCCTCGCTCAGGCGGGGCCTCCCTGGAGGGGTGGGAGGGGCACGAAACCATGTAAATAGTATGGTTTTCCGATACCCTCCTCGCTCAGGCGGGGCCTCCCTGGAGGGGTGGGAGGGGCACGAAACCATGTATACCCTCCTCGCTCAGGCGGGGCCTCCCTGGAGGGGTGGGAGGGGCACGAAACCATGTAAATAGTATGGTCCGATACCCTCCTCGCTCAGGCGGGGCCTCCCTGGAGGGGTGTAAATAGTATGGTATTCCGACCCTCCTCGCTCAGGCGGGGCCTCCCTGGAGGGGTGGGAGGGGCACGAAACCATGTAAATAGTATGGTATTCCGATACCCTCCTCGCTCAGGCGGGGCCTCCCTGGAGGGGTGGGAGGGGCACGAAACCATGTAAATAGTATGGTATTCCGATACCCTCCTCGCTCAGGCGGGGCCTCCCTGGAGGGGTGGGAGGGGCACGAAACCATGTAAGTAGTATGGTTTTCGGTATGGAGTGATGGAATGGTATGGTAGGTATGGTATGGTACGGTATGGTATGATATGGTATGGTATGGTACTGGAGGTATGGTATGGTATGGTACGGTGTGGCATTGGTGTGATATGGTATGGTATGCTATGGTACGCCATGGTATGGTATGGTACGGTATGGTACGTATGGTGTGGTATGGTATGGTATGGTATGGTATGGTATGTGTGGTAGGAACTATGGTATGGTATGGTGTGTGTGGTAGGAATAATATTGTGCTGTATGGAAGATGGAGCGGGAGGTGGGTGGGAAGGAGAGGGTGTTCTGGGAAAACAAGAACCCCACTCAGGATGTGGGGAAAAAACGGCAAATCGGAACCGTTCAAAAACGGCCCTGTCGTTTCCAGGGCCCACTCAGCCCAGGGCCCCTTCAATTGTCGAAGGGCGGGCAAGCGAGTCGCTATTAGTCGGGTGTTGCCAGAAACAAGCCGCTGGCCCAAGGTGCCCCCCAGGATTCTTGGGGGGGCGCCCAGGCGGCCTCCAGAGCACCCCTCACGAGGCCCAGAGGGCCCCAGGGGCTCCAAGATGGAGCGAAAAGCTGGGGGCACCCTGGGCGGGCAAGAGCGTCGCTATTGGGGAGGAGAAGGAGGTCGGAGGTTGGCAGACCTCCCACCCTGACACCCTGACACGTCGATTCGCGAATGTTGGCCGTTGTCGGTTCGCGAGAGGGCGTCGCGGCCGCCATTGTTGCGGGCACAGGTCCGTCGGTTGCGGCCCTGGGCCGTTGTCACTGAAGGGAGGTTTGCTGAAAGGAGGTTCGTCCACCGCCGAGAACGGTCGGGGCTCGTGGAGGCGGCAGTGGTGCGCTCCGAACGTCTCCCCTGGACCCTTCCTCGAGCCCGTCCGTGCCGGTGTCTCCTGCCGCGGTGGCGAGATCTCCTCCGGCGTCATCATCGTCGTCATCTTCTTAACGCGTCGTCATCGTCGTCGCCGTCGCGAGCAACACCGATGGGTTCATGTGCCCCCTTACCACGCGCTGGATGTGTTGGCATGCGCTCCCGTTCGTCCACTCGTCCTCCCTTCCTCTTCGTCCTCCTGCCCTTTAACCCTGGACCTTGATTTTTTATACTCGTTCTCGTGTCCGATACGCGCCCATGAGGGACTCCTCATATCCAAGGGATTGTCCAGGGCTGGCTCATTGACACGTCGAAGGGTGTGCTTTCTCCTCGTTCCCCTCTTTCTCAGTCTTCCTCTGCGTCTTGGTTCTAGTCCTCCTTGTCCTACCCCCGATCTAGACAGGTCGCGTAAATATCCGTAATGGCTTCGCCCCCTGCCGCCGGCCCCCTCTCTCGGATAATGGGTAATGCAAGAGCGAAATCATGCGGCCTTGGCGCCGCCGTGAAGCAGCGTCGGGACTTCACGCGAAGACGATGAGTAACCGGCAAGACAAATTGAGATTCTGATGATATTGTTGAATTCGGTGTTGTATTTCGAGGGTTCACGGCTTCGGATACGCGAACAATGCGTAGTGTACAACGGTTGATGGCTTCGTGGTGGCAAATATAATTTACTTTAGCAAGGTGTATGGCTTCGGAGACGCGAATATTGCATAATTTACAATCGGTTTACGGCTTCGGACACTCGATTAGCGCGTAGTTTACGAAGGTTGATGGCTTCGGGGTCGCAAATATTATGTCATTCACGCATGTTTATAGCTTCGGAGATGCGAAGCTCGCGTAATGTCCGAAGGTTTTTGGCTTCGGGGACGCGAATACCGTGTGATTTACGAGCGTTTGTGGCTTCGAGGACGCAAGCATTGTGCAATTTACTACGGTTTATGGCCTCGGGGACACGCATATGGCGTATTTTGCGAGGGTGTATGGCTTCGGGGACGCGAATAGACAGTAAGTCACGAAAGTTTCTGGCTTCGGGGACGCGAATATTGTATACTTTACGCGGGTTTATGGCCTCGGGGGCGCGAATTTCATGTACGGTTACATGTCCCACGCCCCCCTCAGGAATCCAGAGTACGCGATTCGGGCGTGGTAGCTAGGTTCCTTCTCGGCTCCCCCCCCTCGCGCGGTCCATCAACAAGGAACAGTAAACAGCAAGAAGCAGAACTGTAACAGTGGAAACTGGAAACTGGAACTGGCGCAGGGAACAAACCCTAGTCCTACAGCCTGGTGGCCCCACAAGAGGGCCGGCGGATCTACTGAGCCTGCCCGGCGACTCAAGAGCATCCAAAGTGCAGGATTCGTTTTCTCTTCGTTTCTTCGAGGAGCAAACAAACATGTGTGGTCGAACTTGCGCCTTTGGAGGTTGCACTGCCACTCTGGAAGGTGTTTGGCCCCCCATCCAGGTGCAACCATTTCAAAGCCACAGCGAAACAAGCTTTGATATGACTTGCCGTTTTTGTTCCTGCAGTTTCCGGGTTGGGTCGATGGTCCTAGCGCCTAGAGGGGGCGCGCAGGTCTACAGATATCCAGGTGAAGCAGATGGGTGGGAGGCGGAGGAGAGCGAGGAGAACTTCGAGTAGCATCCGTTGGTGAACATGTAAATTTGTGAAAATGTAAAACGGGCCGGGATTGGGGTGGTGTTGCTGAGGAGCCGACGGCAAAAGGAAACTAGATTTGGGCAGTGAGGAGTATACGGAAAAGCGCAGAAGTATGAAGAGAAGTCGCAGTTATCATTGAGAGGGCAACGGGAATCGCGATCACCGTGCGGGGTGGGAACAGAGGAGGTGGAGGAAGAGAATGAAGAATCATGGGTTCCGAAGGTCCGCGGACATTTGAGGCCATCGGTGTCATGTGAATCATGCTTCACTGTATGTTGTCTAGGCCCAGCTTGTGGCAGAAGCATCGGGCGGGTCGGGATCGGGAGAGCGTCTGCCTGGCATGCGTGGGCGGCCGTTCCGGGCGTGCGAGATCTCCCGGAGCGCTGCACCGTACGTTCGGTCGTCGTCGGGAGGGGTCGCGACTTTTCCCCCAAGACTGTAACTTGAGCCCGCCCGGAGAGGTGGCACCCAGAGCCCCGAATTTTCACTTTCCAAGCGCCCCGTGGGCTCGGACTTCCATCTCCTCCTCCTCCTCCTCATCCTTGATTTCCTTGAAGTCTTTGAATTCCTTGAATCTCTTGAACTCCTTGGTGGGCAGAGCCGACCTGCCGCGGCCGACGCCAAGTGCACGCCGTGGAGCGCACGCGGCAAAACGCTGGAGGCCTCGCTCCGCGCGCTGCCCTCCTCGGGAGGGGCCGTCGGGGGCCCGCGGCGTCGGCCTCGCGCGCGCGCGCGCCGTGCCTCTGCGCGCCGCGCGCGGCGGCGCAGTCCCGCGCCAGAGCGGCCGCCGCCGCATGCCGCGGGGCTTCGTCGCGCGCCGGCTCGGGCCCAGGAGGTGCGGTGTTCAGCTGGCGGTGCAGCGGGCCCCAGGAGGACGGGAGAAACCAAGAGTCCATGGCCCTCGCCTCCCGAGGTCCCCGACGACCGCTCCCGCCTGTGGCGGATGTGGAGAAGTTCCCGCCCGGCACGGGGTGAGCGTGCCACCTCGGGGCCCCTCCAGCCGACTCCTGGGCCAGGAGTTGGCATCGCAGGCGGCGCCCTCGGCAAACGGGAGGCCCCCCACCGGCCGAGTGCCGTCACTCTCGCGGCGTCGTTGCTGACGTGAACCAGCAGCGTGGCCGAATCCGCCCCTCCTCAGCTACGATGCGACACCCTCTCGTCGCCCGCCGCAGGGCGGCTCCCACAATAACAACTCTTGCCGCACCTGTTAGGACTTGATCAAGGCTGTGTCCACGCAACCTTTTGGGGTGTTCCGCCGCGTGGGCTTCTGATTGCGCCTCCGCCGGGAGGGCGGGGGCCGGACGGGCTAAGGACACCTGCCTGGCACGGCGTGCTCGCTCAACCGCTCCAAGTCGGCCAGTGGCTCAAGCGCAATAGCCGCAGCATTGCCACTGCCGCCGCGGCGAAGGAGCCAGCATGTCCAGGGTTCGTGCTGCGCTCTTCGGTGTGCTGGCCTCGCCGTTCCAGCGCCCCCTCAACGACGAGCAGCTCGCGAAGGAGCGCCGTCTGCTGGACCCCGCGCTGGGGCTGGCGCTCATGGCCGCGGTGCTGCTGTACGGCGTGTTAGAGGGCCTCAACATGTGGGACGATCAGGCGCATCAGGAGGTTGACCGCCCCTTCATAGGCGATCACCCCTCACGGCCGACGCACGCCAGTTGGCCTTGTTTACCCACTCTGTGGCGGGATTGGCCCCGACGCTGCCTCCCGCGATGTCCGAGGAGCTCCGCGCTGCAGGAACCCGCCCTCACTTGCAGCCCCGACGCCGCCTCCACCTGTGCCCAGAGGTCCCTCCGCATCCCACCGGGGGGTCGGGCTCCGAAGTTGTTGCGGAGCTTGGCCAGTTGTGTCGGCCATAAGGGGCGATCCGCCACGGGGCAAGAGCCCTGATGGCAGGCGTTCAGCTCTGTGTGCTACTCAACCGCCACCTCGCTGCCTGGAGGCGACGAGGCGCTGAAGGTCAAGCACCTCTGTTACTCCAAGGAGGTGGACGCCGCCTGGCAGGCCTACGCGCTGAAGACATTCACCTGCCGGGGCGAGTTCGGGGGCAGCTGGCAGGGAGCTCAGGAGGGCTCTAGTGACGTGTTCTGCGTTTGTTCGGCGTCCTCAGCTCCTGTTCGGCGGCCGTGGTGAGAGTGTTCGGTCGAGCCTCTGCGCGGTGTGTGTTCGGCGCGATCGGGCCATGCTCCTCCCCTGTGGCGCTCGGTTCGGCCGGGTCTTCTGTCCGGTGTCCTGCACCGCTCCCGAGGTGGGGAGTGGCGCATTGTCAGGTGCAGCCAGGCGCCGCGGGCGAGGCGGTAGACCCTGCCCCGGGAGGCGACGGGCGCCTGCTGGCGACGCCAGGCACGTTCGTCCAGCCGCACGTGCTGCCAGACTTCTGCCAGCTCGTCATCCACCAGGGCGAGGACGAGATCGCCGAGTTCGTGCGCGCGGACATGCACGACGGCTGCGTCGGCGGGGGCTGCCGGGATAACGTGGACACGTCGGTGGCCTACTCCACCGTGACATCCGCCGGCGGAGGCGCCTCCCCTGAAATCCGGCAGCACAAAAAATGCAGCATCGCGATGGTCGCGGGTCCCAAGACATTACAGAACCGCTCGTTAGAACAAATGTGACGCCATGGTCTCGGTGTCCTGCCTGGAACTCGCCCTCGCCAGGGAGCCGGATCGCCCCTCGCGGGCGATCACACCTCCTGCCCGACGCACGCCAGCCAGCTTCCGCAACTTGTGCTACACGAGCCAGTTCAGGTGTCATTCCAGAACCGTCCGAAGACTCTTCTGGACTCTGAATCCCGTACTTGTTGGTGATTGGAATGGTGCTAAGGGCGAGGTTGGTTTTTCCACGGCGGCCATGGAAGATAATTGGCGTGCGTCGGGCATGAGTCATGCTCCTCCACTACAGGTGCTGTCAAAGCTCTGATGTAGGCTCTATCCCACAGAAGACTTAGACGATGCATGGCGTGCATCGTTCATGAGTCATGCTCCTCCACTGCAGGGGCTGTCGAAGCTCGAATGTAGGCTCTACCAGTAGTGTTCCCTGTGCCGAGGCTGTGTCAGTTGGTCCACGCGACGCGCTTGCCTGGCAACCTCTCGTTGCCGCTTCCCGTCCCGTCCTCCTTCCCCCCTGGCAGATTTTAGCAATGGCGGGCCAGCAGCGAACAGACACGCCCCATGAGGCTACTCTGGCTCGGAGAGGTTCTACAAGATTGCGTCAGCGCAGGGCGATGGCTTCACCTGCTGTGGCATGCGCTACCAGTCCACCTCCGAGCGTCTCCTGTCCTTCTTGGGCGCCCTCGGGGGCTTCTTCGGGCTGGCGCAGGCCGTGCTGATGTTCGTCCCGCCTTACAGTGCTGGGAGAGGTCGCCAGGGTCTCCACCACTCCTCTATGCAAGATCGCGCCATTTGTCACCTGGCTCGTGCCGCTAGTCACCCTCTGCCGCTGCTTCGCGGCCTGGTCCCCCACCGCCGCACCCTGACAAGCCCCCCTGGGTGGCCAGGGGCTACGCCAGAGTGAGCGGTACCAGGGTGGGGGCTGGCGGATTCAGCCCGAAGGAGCTGCGGCTGACTGACGTGCGTCGGACATCTGTGGGGGGCGTTTGTCACGAGGGGTGTTGGAGATCCGATGGAAAGGAAGCAAGGGCTCGCCATCGCAGCCACCCGATTCGAACGAGGTCAAGGAGCAGGCCTGAGCCCCACGCGTCCACACGAGACGTTTGGGACCATGACCAGCAGGCAAGACCCGAGAGTCCAGAATCCTGGGAATGGTACCCCGCGGCGCGTGTCCCGCGCCAAGCAACAGGGGTAGCCCGTAGAGCATTCCTCAGGGTTCTTGACGTTTCTTTCTGATTGTGCTGTCTTCGACTTCCGATGCAATGTGCGCCATCCAGTTTGTGGTGCCTACTGTCGTAGTATACGTGGCCGCCCTCGAAGGGCAGCGCCTGTGGGGCCGGCAGAGGGCAGACAGCCTGATACTGCTGGCTGGGCCGCCAGCGCCAAGGCCAGCCCGCATCTCCACCACTGTTGCGGCCACCCCCGCGAAGATCGAGGATCGGGGATTGCAGGATCAAAATTCGGCCCACAAAAATTGCCGCCGCCTTGATCCTCCAGGATCGGCCCGTGGTCGTTCCGCAGCAACCCACCAGGGGGCTGGGGCACACGAGCTGCTGCCGGCTGTTCCACACGGGTTGCGGCCTGTACTCTCAGCTCCGAGGAAGACGAATCAGCATAAAGCATGCACTTCAGGAGGTCCGCGCGCAATGCTCAGGTCGGCGTTGGGCCCCCCTGGGTGGCGCCTCTAGCGCCGAAACCCGGCGCGCTCCGCGCCGATCCAGTGCATCCGAGTCCGCGCAGACCGCCAAGTGTTTGTGCCTGTGCAGCTCCGTTCGTCTTCTGACAGTCGTTGCCATCGGTACGCTCATTGTCCAGCGTATTCGTGCTTCTGCACGTTTACCTTTGTGTCCCCAACGCGGGGCCCTGGCGAGATTGGTGCAGTGCAGTGCATGGATTGTGGTAAGTGTGATCCCTGTCAAGTTTGTCTTGCTCATGGTCTTGCGCACTCCAAAAAGACTGTTCGCCGCTGATTCCACCTTGCCAAGGATCGACGCGCACAGAAGTGTGGGCGGCAGACCCCCAAGATGGGAATCCCAAATCGGTATGACGCTGCCTCGAGCAAATTTAACGCATCGCTGTGCAGACATCCCAGGCCACGGCGCTTCGCGCGCTAGGTGCGGATACTCACGGCATGGGATGATTCCTCTTTCCACCCCTCCCGCCCCCCGTCTTCCCATCTCCCTCTCCACCTTCGCGCGCCCCGTCTTCCCATCCCCCTTCACACGAACATCCCCCCGCATCTTCCGCGCGGAAGACGCCGCGCAGCGGCGGCCGCGTCGGCCGCGCGCCTAAGCCGCGGCGGCACCTATACCGCGCAGAGGTGCACCTCTCCCTCCATGTCCTCGATCCTCGACCCTTCTTCCTCCTCCTGCTCCTCCTCGATCTTCGCCCCGTCTTCCTCCTCGACCCTCCCTCCTTGCTTTGATCCTTCCTGCCTCACTCCTCAGTCCCTCCTCGAGGTACTGCATGTGTCGTAGGGCCTCCCCCCGCCTCCGTCGGCTCGGACGACAAGAGGGGGGGGGAGGGGAGCGCGTGGGGGATCAGCGATTCAGATCGCGTGCAGTCAAGACGTTGCAAGAAGGGCCGCCTTGGGCTCGGGAGGGGCTACCATGTCCGGGCCGGTCCTTGGATCCAGGTCGGGAACCCACTCGTGGCCGAGGCTCGCCATGGGGAGAAACGCCCCTTCGCTCCTGACTCAGCACTCCCTACGGTAGCACGATGGCTGCAGCCGGGGAAGGCGCCCGGCGACGGGGCCAAAACACCGGCTGCATGCAGCACTCGAGGCCAAGACAGCTGCACAGCCCTAAGACACGTTGAGGTTCGCGCGGGTTTCTTGGACCAGCGCTGGGCCCCCCCTCCCTGGCTGGCGGGGCGCCAGAGGCATTGCTAGGGGGGGGCGTGGCGCCGATCCAAGGAATCCGCGCGGCCCTCAAGTGTTTAAGCTCATCCCCCCCCCAACACCTTCGGAGGCGCTGTATCTCACTCAGGCAAGCTCACTTGCATGACATTTCGACTTCCCCCCTTTCGTCGCCTTTTCAAACGGCGCTGGGCCGAAAACGCGTGCAAGTGAGTCTCAACTCGCGCGAAGTCCAACCTGCCCCCCCTCCCACCCTCATACGTCCCCCTCCCCTCCCTCACTCACGCAAGCAAGCTTACCAGCGTCTGCGGAAAAAGTCTGCCTACCCAGAGCTCCGGCCTTTTGCTCTTGTTCCAAACGTGGGGGCTCCCAGACGTCTCGGCCTGTTCCCCGACATACCACAGTTTTGATGGTCTCGGGTTCCGAGGGCCCCCGGAGCCCGAGAACCGGTACTCCAGATTTCGTAATAAACCCCCCCCGAGGGCCCCCGGAGCCGGAGAACCTCCCCCGAAATGAGACCCCCCTCCCTTTATTACGAAATCTGGAGTACAGGTTTCCCGGGTGTTTTCTGACAACGAGAGGAGGTGGGAGTCTCGGGCTGAAAAATCTACATCTGCACCTCTCCAGGGGCGCTTTCCGATTAGAATTTGGGGGGAATCCAGCCGTGACGACGAGAGGCCTCCTGGAGACTCCAAAAATTTGGGAACCTCTTCGAACGAAGTCCGTTTTTGATTTCGATCGTTCGTCTTTTCGCCCGATCCGATCCGTCCTTTCGTCCGACACCTTCTCCAGGACCAGCTTTGCGTCCTGCTGAGTCGTTTCTGACGTTCGTGGGGCTCGGCGAGGGCCCACAGAGGCCCAAAATGTACAAAAGCTTCCCATTGCGATCCTCTCGCGACGAGAGGACGCCAGGGTGCGTCACTCTCCTCTGGCCGCAGAAACGAAAGGGGTGCCGCCGTTATCTCCACTGGCCCTCGTTCGATTATTGTCGGACGATATAACTCTGGCCTCAGTTGGCCTTTCGGGTCGATCCTGGCATCCCTGGAAGGCCTGTGACGAGCTGCAGATGATGGGAACAACCCCAGGCCCCGACGACCTCCGACGGCCATTCGAAAACGTCAGCAGACCCTGCCCGAAAATCCTGGGCCTCCGACGTCGCCAACGGCCCTCATCCGACTGACCCTCTAAACTCAAGAGCGAACAACATGTACAATCGCTAATGCACGCTGATCTGTGTGAAAGCATTGGGGAAGATTGGAAATGGAAGGGAATAAAAGACCTCAGAATAGATATTGGAAATATGGGAAGTCCTGGGATGTATCTCGATTTGATTGTGTCTTCCTTGGCTCGGTTGCTTTCGTCCCACCCGACCTAGGGCCGCCCTCCGGCCGGCAATGGCCTCTGGTCACCACCGCGGCGCCCCCCTCGTTGGCGCCCAGACCCACGGCGCGCAGGGTGCGGACGCCGTGTCCTGGTGACGCGGGGGCGGCCCGAAGCGGCCAGCGATCGTCGTCGCCGTCGTCGTCGGTGTCGTCTCCGTCGACATCGTCGTCGTCGTCGTCGCCGTCGCCGTCGCCGTCGCCGCCGCCGCCGCAGCCGCCGCCGCCGCCGCCGCCGCCGTCGTCGTCGTCGTCGTCGTCGCCGTCGTCTTCGTCGTCGTCGTCGTCGTCGTCGTCGTCGTCGTCGGCGACGCCGTCGCCGTCGCCGTCGCCGTCACCGTCGCCGTCGCTGTCGCCGTTGCCGTCGCCGTCGCCGCCGCCGTCGCCGCCGTCGCCGCCGCCGCCACCGTCGTCGTAGTCGTCGTCGTCGTCGTTGTTGTTGTCGTCGTCGTCGTTTTTGTCGTTGTCGTCGTCGTTGTCGTCGTCGTCTTCGTCGACGTCGACGTCGACTTCGCCGTCGTCCCCGCCGCCGCCACCGCTGCCCGTTGTCGTCGTCGTCGTCGTCGTCGTCGTCATCTTCTGCTCGTCGTCGTCGTCGTCGCCGTCGCCGTCGGCGTCGTTGTCGTCGTCCATCCGACGGGTGTCGACCCTCGATCTCAGATCCCCTCGCGTCGTAAACATCATCACGACGGCAGGTCTCCTGTCATTCTCGGCCTCGGGGGGCCCTCGGGGAGCCTCGGGACCGCCAGAAAGTGGCCCAGGACGAACAGCCGGCCCTGGGGCAACGATCCAGACCTTTGGGGGCCCTCGCGGAGCCTCAGGACCGCCAGAACATGGCCCAGGACGAACAGCCTGCCCTGGGGCAACGATCCAGACCTTTGGGGGCCCTCGCGGAGCCTCGGGACCGCCAGAAAGTGGCCCAGGATGCACAGCCTGCCGCCGTGGGCAACGATCCCGACCTCTGGGGGGCCTCGCCTCCGTTTCAGCAGTCGTTCTTCCCCCGATGTCGGCCCCTATATAGGGGGCCCGTGCTCGGGCCCGCCGGGGGCCGGCGATGCTCCTCCTCCTCCTCCTCCTCCTCCTCCTCCTCCTCCTCCTCCTCCTCCTCCTCCTCCTCCTCCTCCTCCTCCTCCTCCTCTCCTCCTCCTCCTCTCCTCCTCCTCCCTCCTCCTCCTCCTCCTCCTCCTCCTCCCTCCTCCTCCTCCTCCTCCTCCTCCTCCTCCTTCCTCCTCCTCCTCCCTCCTCCCCTCCTCCCTCCTCTCCTCCTCCTCCCTCCTCCTCCTCCTCCTCCCTCCTCCTCTCCTCCCTCCTCCCTCCTCCTCCCTCCTCCTCCTCCTCCTCCTCCTCCTCCTCCTCCTCCTCCTCTCCTCCTCCTCCCCTCCTCCTCCTCCCCTCCTCCTCCTCCCTCCTCCCTCCTCCCTCCCTCCTCCTCCTCCTCCTCCCTCCTCCCTCCTCCCTCCTCCCTCTCCCTCCCTCCTCCCTCCTCCCTCCTCCCTCCTCCCTCCTCCCTCCTCCCTCCTCCTCCTCCTCCTCCTCCTCCTCCTCCTCCTCCTCCTCCTCCTCCTCCTCCTCCTCCCCCTCCTCCCTCCTCCTCCTCCTCTCCCCTCCTCCCTCCCTCCTCCCTCCTCCCTCCTCCTCCTCCCTCCTCCCTCCTCCTCCCTTCTCCTCCTCCTCCTCCCTCCCTCCCTCCCCCGGGCCCCGATGCTGGATCCAGGGAAGCGGTTGGGAGCTCCGAGGCCGCCGACAGAGCAGATCATATCGGAGGCGGTTTGCGGTACCGAAATCTCTTCGTCGCGGTGGTGGCCCTGAAGCGGCCAGCGGTCGTCGTCGTCGATCCGACGGGCCTCGAGCCTCGATCCTGGACGCCCTCGGGTCCCCAGCAGGCAGCTGGTCTGCTGATGCCAAGCTGGGGCTCTGAGATGGAGTTGGCGGGGGCTCTGAGGTGGCCCAGCGATGGTTTCGACGAGCAGGCAATGGGGCAGGCTCGCGCGGTGGGTTCGATAAGGTGTTTTGGCGTTGTTCGGTCTCCAGGTGCCGTGTTCAGGCCCCAGGGCCGTCGAAAACGGACCTGGACCTGGGAGAGGTCCAGGGACCGACTTTGACCAGGGCCAAACCGGGTCAGACCCTCCGGCCGCCTCCAAAGCTGGGGTTCGATGCCATTTTCTCAGCGCCCGGCGAGGCATGCCAGGCCCACGATATCGGTGGCTCATGGTGGTCTTCCATCGTGGCTGTGCGACGTTGTGCGGGGTTTTCTGCCGCAAGAGCTCTCTTTCTCAACCCGTTGGAGAAAGGCAGGCCCGCAGCCACGACAGGGGGGCAGATGTGGGCGGCAGGCTGCGGCCTGCTCGGGAGGAGCAGCCCGACGCGGTCGGCCAGCCGCCGATCGAGAAGGCGAGATCAGGCAGCACACCCAGCAGTGACCAGCCCACGATCGACCAGCACTTGAGCGACGCAGGAAGACTGGTTCGATTGCGCGGACGTTCGCGCGCAAGCTGCCTGCGCAGGGTCGCGCGTGAGGCGCCTTCGTGTCCAGTGTGGCGTGCCGTGCTGGCGGCCTGCGTGAGCCACCGCGTAGGGTCTGCTATGCCAGCCATCACGACGCAAAGCCAACACGCACTGCAGGGATGAGCCGTTTTCCAAGGCGAGCCTTGCATCCTTTCCCTTCGGCCCGCCCTTGGCCACCTTCGCTGGCCGCGCCCCGCTCGAAGCGCGGCGACATGGGCTTCCAGGGCCCTTGCATCCTCGTCGCGCATCCTTGCTATACGCGGCGACTGTGAGACCGGATTCTTATCCTCGCCCGCTTGCCGCCAGGATGTCACGTTCTGTCCCCCCCTCGCCGCGGCTGCCCGACCTCGCCCAGCGAGAGAGAGCGTCCGCCGCCCGCCCGCCCGCCACCCGGCGCAGAGGTACCCGGCCTCGCGCGTGCTGCCGCGGGACCCCGACGACCGCGGCGCCGTCGAGGGCTGCCGGGGCCTGGGCGAAGAATCTCGACCCTGCCTCCCCCCATCCCAGGCCCCTTCGACGTCATGATTTTTTCATGACGTCGACCCCCAGAGGTTTGGACCCATTCCCCAGGACCGGTTTTTCATCCTGAATCGTTTTTTGACGGTCCCGGGGCCCGGTAGGGGCCCCCAAAAGCCACAAGTATGGGAAAACCTCCCGTCGTGATTTTTTCATGACTCGAGGGGTCTGGGATGCGGGTGCTCGATGCTCGAGGTCTTCGGACGTCTTCGTCGGCTCGCGGGCTCTCGGCGGTGTTTTCCAGCCCCGAGAGGCTCTCCGGCGGGCTGCGCCTCGCCGAGGGTGCTCCGGGGGGGGCGCCCAGCTCGTCCCGAACGGCCGTCGCAGAGCCGAGGCATGACTTGGCATCGCTCGGACGTGTGCATGTTTCCTTCGGCGAGGACCATCGAGGAGCATCCTTGATCGTTTCGCGAAAAAGCCACGCACGAGACCGAAAAAAGCACAGGGAATGGACGTCCGAGCGATGGCCAGGAGAGCGGCGCGCCACCCACTCGCGAGGCGCAGCGTGTCGCCGGGGCCGGCGCCGCGGCACAGGGAGCCCAGAAGTTCCCGACCGTTTTTTTATGTCTTCCGTCCCCATGCCCGACCCCCTGCGCGTCATAGTGGTCACGGCGGCTTTTTGCGACTTTCGGCCCGGTGGGGGGCCCGGGACCACCTGCTTGGGAGACGATCTATTGCAAGGCTCGTATGGGACGGGCGCCTCCAATAGAGGACATAGCACGATTATTATCGTCAAAACTATCGGCGCCCACTCTCCAATGCCGGTCATTGTGGAACTTCTGAGTCGCGCCACACTCCACGCTTCGGTCTGCTCCGGCGTTGAAGGGACGCAAGGAATCGACATTTGAAGGGGCGCAGCAAGAGCTTGCAAGGCTATTTTTGTTTGAGTGTTGTAGTACGTTCTTCTGCTTTCCAGCCGCAGGGTGGCCGCCAGCGCCAGCCGCGGGCGGATCCCGAGGTAGCCGCGACCGGCGCTGCGACCCCGTGCCTCCGCTGAGGCCCCGCCGCCTTTCTCCGCTTCTGTTGCCTTCTTCATGCTTCGCGGTCGCTCAGATTCGATCTTCGAAGATCGAGGTTTTCGCTCTTGTTGGGCCTCCTGGTGACACCTCGTGGCCACGTCCGGATACTCCTCGAAGTTCTAGTTGAAACGCATCCCTGGAGGTATCCCGGGCTCGCTCTCGTCGTCGTCGTCGTTGTCGTCTCGTCTTCGTTGTCGTCTCTTCTGCGCCGGCGCGAGATGCGTCGGAGAGAGCAGAGGGGGAGCAGGAGAAGGGTGGAGCCAGGGGGCGATCGGACCCTTCGAGCGCCGCCCAGGAGCCCCGTCACACGCGACAGCTGTCGTCGTCAGCAGAAGGGCCGCCTCGAGGCGTCCGCACTGGCGCGCTCGCCCGCGGCCTGCGGAAGCCTCCAGGTGCAGGGGCCGGGAGAGCCGTGACATGTGACGCCTCAGGGCCGTCACGTGCAGCAGCTCGCTTCCTCAGCGGAGACCACTTCCGGGACGTGCTCGTCCTTCCCTCACGCAGGAGGGCGGGTTCCCACCGCAACCGCCCGGAGCCGCAGGCGGTTTCTCTCCCCCCCAATCCCCGATTCCCCGTCCCGGGAAATCAGGCCGCTTAGACAAGGGGGGGGGGGGGCTGGGGGATGCACTCCCGGGCCTGGACTACTCGGACGCGCTCGCTTGCCGAGGACTGTCCCCCCCCAATCGTATATCCCCGAATGTGGTCCCAAATCTGTTGTCCAGCCGATGACCCCACCAGGTCGCGGATTGGGGTCGCCATACCCTCCGTTAGCAGCCAGAAGAGGTGGTGGGGCATCTGTCGGCCTCCTCCTCCTCCTCCTCCTCCTCCTCCTCCTCCTCCTCCCAGAGCCATCGCAAGCCAAGCTGAGTAGGCTTCAGTTTCTGTGCGTTCGTTGCGGTTGCTGGGCCCAGAGGTGCTCCCGTAATCTTGACAAGGAGTGCCAACGACCCTCTAGGAAGGGACGCGAGGTACTAAGTAAGTACTCGCGAGGCCTGGGCCCCAGTAATCGTGTCCGTCAATTGATTGATAGAGTTGCTGCGGTCACTGCAATGTCTGTGGTCCCCAAGCCGCGGTCTAAGACTCTTGCCTGCACGTCTGTTCCCTCGGCCCATTCGAGTGCCCCCACCGTCCCTGAGTACGAGAGACGGATGGCCGCAATTGCTGAGCGAGTGCGAGCCAAGGAGGCCCTCCAGGCTGAGGAGTAGCTTTGGGTCGTGGCACCCCGTCGCGGGCCCTGGTCAGAGTGTGGGGAGCTCTGTCCTCCAGGGTAACAAATCCCTTTCCGAAGGGTGCCACTTCCCCCCATTGGTTGTTTTAGTCTTGCGAGACTCTTCCCCTCGGGGCTGTCCTAACCGAACCTCCTCCTCCTCGAGCCCGAGGAAGAAGTGAGCAGGGGCGGGCCCCCTCGGAAGGCTCGGGAGCCCCCTGGCACTCTGAGAAGTGCTCTGAGCCTCCTCCCCGAAGGCGCAGGACACTGCCCAGAGGGCCCGAGGCCCCCCCGAGGAGCCCCCGCCGCCTACATAAGGCGGGATCGGGCGCTGGCGCTGGTGATGATGATGATGATGATGATGATGATGAGGATGAGGATGAGGATGAGGATGAGGATGAGGATGAGGATGAGGATGAGGATGAGGATGAGGATGCTGATGCTGATGCTGATGCTGATGCTGATGCTGATGCTGATGATGATGCTGATGCTGATGATGATGATGATGCTGATGATGATGATGATGATGATGCTGGTGGTGGTGGTGATGAGGATGGTGGTGATGATGATGATGATGGTGGTGGTGATGATGATGATGCTGATGATGGTGATGATGATGGTGGTGGTGATGATGATGGTGGTGATGATGATGATGCTGGTGGTGATGATGATGATGATGATGATGGTGGTGGTGGTGATGATGATGCTGATGGTGATGATGATGATCATAATGAGGATGATGATGATGATGGTGGTGGTGGTGATGATGATGATGATAATGATGATGATGAAGATTATGGTGATGATGATGCTGATGATGATGATGATGATGATGAGGATGATGATGATGACCCACGCATCCAAGAATGTCTGGAGCTCCCCGCTCGATACAGCCTCCCGAGGCCATGGCCTTTCCCTCTGGCGCTGCGGACGCAAGGCCTGACCCGTGCCCAAGGCACACTCGCAGACTCGCCTGAAAGCCTTGAGGCCGCCGACCGCCCCAGCCAAAGGCAGGCGATCAGCAAAGCATCTGAGCCCTCACGGCGACTCAGCTCGCAGACAGCCCAGCGCGCCACATCGGAGCAACAATCCCCTGGGCACCAGGCCACAGACGGGGACGACTTGCTCTGAGGTGGCCTTCGGAGGCGATCCTGACGGTCGGCCGTAGCCTACCACCACGGTTCGGCCTCCGCCTGGCGCGCACAGAGCACAGAGCGGGCTGGAGCGCAGCAGGCTGCGCGGGCTGTCGCGCCCAGGGCGCGCCAGCAGCTACATTAAACGGAGGCGCCGAAGGCGCCAAGCGACATACGTTGCCCAAGAGGGCGGGAGGGAGTGAACCCTGACGTGTGCCGAGCCCCGCGGGGTACAGCCTACGCCACGGGGTCCCTCCCCCCCCAGAGGCAGCGGCTCGGCGCGGGCATTCGTGATCCTTGGACCCGCCTGCGACCCGAGCTGATCAGCAGCTGGCTCGATCGGAGGCAACCATGGCGGTGTGCGAACCTACCGCCACGGTCCAGCCTCCGACAGGCTGCACAAGCAGAGCATGCCAACACGTCTGTTCGCGTGATGGCAGACAGAGCGAGGCGGCAAGCGTGGCAAGAAAGAGCCTAGCCACCATCGACACGCCTGCGCATGCGCCGCAGCGGCTCAGGGTCGCCAATGCCGCCCGCCCCAGCGGGCTGCAGGCCGCGCTTCAGCCTGCTGAGCACCGCCTTCTGCCTATCGTTCTTGGGGGCCTTCGTGCACTCCGCTGCCAAGCCCGCCATCCTGCGGCTCTGCGTCCAGTAGCCGCACTTCACGCAGAAGAGGTGGCTACCAGCCCGCCACAGGTCGTGGGAGCCGTGGGCGTCCAATCCCCACCAAGGCGGGAGCTGCGGCGGCGGCAGCGGCGGGGTCCCGCCACCGGCCCCAGAAGGACCCCCCGACGACGGTGGGCTACCCCGCTGGCCGCCGCCAGGCGCGCCGCTGCCAAATCGCCCTGCACTCGCCTCGTCTCCTTCCACCTGTGCTGGTGCCTCGCTGGCCTGACTGTGAGACAGCAGCGCCGCGCCCGCCGTGATGAGCGCCGCGGCTGCAGCGACCGATCCGCCTCTGCTCTCGGCCCCTGAGGCCCAGGAGCCCGCGAGCGCGTCGCCCCTGCCCGCGCACCGCTGGCAGGCCCAGACCGTGTCGCCGTCGACGTCCAGCCACGTCCCGTGCCGCCCGCACGTGCGCTGCGGGCAGTCAGGGAAACTGCAGTGCGCTCGCCATCGCATCTTGCAGCCGCGCCAATCGCACCGAACTGCTCCCAGGCCTGGGCCCTCGTGCCCGTCCGCTGCCGTGAGCTCGGCGTCGCCTTCCTGCATCGCCGAACCCAGCCAGCAGAAGACCTTCTTGACGAGGCGATCCTGCCTGCGGCTCCTTTCTCGCACGTCGTCGTCGCTGGGATGCATCTGCGCGCCCTGCACGGCGCGGGCATCGGCGCTGTGATTGCCCCGCCGCTGCCAGGCCGTGGCGCGCTCCGCCTGCACGTCCGCCAGCGTGGCGTGAGCCTTCACCTTGTGGATGGTGACGCTGCCGACCCCTACGTCGTCGAGGGCCGCCCAGAACCGCACCCAAAGCTCGCGGTAAGGCCGCTGCCAATGCAGGCACCGCGCCCTGCCCGCCGCGAAGCCGTCCACGAGCAGCTTGCAGTCAGTGAAGATCCGCACAGGTGGTAGGCAGCTCTGGATGCCCTCGATGGCCGCCACCAGCTCCGCTGCCCCTGATTCTTGGGGATACGGCCAGGGGAGCGGGCCGAAGAGGCTGACTGCCTCGCTGTCGGGCCCCATGGCGACGACCGCCCAGCCGCCGCGCGCCGAGACGAGGCTGGGGTCCAGAACGCTCCCGTCCGTGAAGAGGTCGCCCGAGAGCGGCTGCCCCACCAAGTCGGCATGACCCTCCTTCCGCGCCTCCCTGGCGTCGGTGGGCGGTGGCAGGGTCCTTCGGTGCTCAGGTGCAAGAGCGCGGGACCAGAGCGGGTCCTCGACTCCCTCGATGCTAGCCATGCCGACGATGGTGCGAAAGGGGATGTCGCCAGGGGGGCACCGCTCGCCCGCCTCCTCGTTGGAGATCCACTCGCCGCGGCTGACCTCGGTGGCTGGGCACTGCCACGCCAGGTGCCGCACTGTGCCGTGCGCAGGGCATCCCCTGGGGCACCAAGGAGAGGAGGCCAATGGGCGTTCCTCAAAGAACCGCCGCGCCACGGGCCAGAGACATCCGACCAGCGCGTTCTTGGCCGAGCTCATCTGCTTGGCCTTCTGCTTGCTCATGCGCTTGCGTGCCAATGTGCGCCTGATACTGGACAGGGCGCCTCCATCGCGCAGGTGCTCCAGTCCTGGGTGCTTGCTCGCTGCCCGCCACAGCGCCCTCTCGTGGCCATCGGCGATGTGCTTGGCGAGCGTGGAGGCCCCCAGGGTCCGTGGGTCCAGCGGCTGCTGCTTGTCGTAGGTGAGCAGCCCTGGCAGTGTGGCGGTCCAGCCCAGGCGGTGGCAGGCTAACGCGCATGCAGCAGCTGGCCCGCGTCCAGCCAACGCCTCAGGCCCGCCTCTGGCCAGCAGCGTCCTAGCCCCTGCGAAAGCGCTGCCCAGGGCCCTCAGGCCCCTGCTGTCCGAGTTGAACTGCACCGCCTTGGCCCATGCGATAATGGGCAGCGCCACGTGGTCGTACAGCGGGTCGCAGTGCAGACGCTTGCTGAGGAGGAAACTGAGGCTGAGGCTCTTGCCTGGGCCGTGCCCATGGTGGACGGCGTTGA